CAGCCTTCGAGCGTCAATCCATTGAGGACCTCGGTACTCGACTTCCGTTTGCGTCGCCATAGAGCGGGTGAAGGTGGAACGGGGAGAGGTTGGAACATGGAACAGCCTGCACCCGTTCCGGTGTCTGTGGTCCTTTTCGTCACCTCCATTTCAAGCCTTCAGGTTCATCACGACTTCCACGAGCTCCTTGATCGTCACCATGGACATTCATTGGACTTGTCGCGACCTGCCTCTGGATTTCCCGCTCTACAGGCTCCGTAGTCCCCTGCGGTAGCCGCGCTTGCGTCTTCTGCTGACGACGCCACCGATCAAAGCATGCAGAACACTTCCGACCAAGCTCCCATAATGCTAACGTTGCGATCACATTCATAATCAGCACCGAGTAGAACTCCAAGGTTCTGGCTGAAGCTCCTGCGTTTGCCTCAACCTCGCCGGCCGCACCCTTTATAATCACCATACACACCATGATGAACATCAGCACCTTGGGCCTTGTACAGCCTTTTAGCGTTTTCACCATGACCTTTGAAGTTCCCAGGGACGTCCAAGCCATAATGCTCCACAGCGACAACAGCTCCCGAAACTTTGCGGCATCGAAGGCCTTGGTCCCTATGTCCTATGTCTGCTTTTTGCACCTGCCCCGGACAGTGCTGATGATCAGGCGGTTGGCATTGGTCCCCTGCCTCAGCAAGCCTCAGCAAGCGGGCCCTGATGCGAAGATGCCGCGTTTTCCATGATCCAGGGCTTTCCGAGGCAAGTCTTCTGGCAGCCATGTTGTCTATGCGCAAGTAAACCACTGGATCAGATCCAAGTTTGCCTAGCATAGCCTTGACCCCCATCGCCATCTGAACTGTACACCTTCATATAATCCTGCTTCTGCAATGCTGAGCGTGATCACCGGTTGCTTGGAAGCCCGCCATGTCATCATCATGCCAGCGAGCTGGGCAAGGATGCAGCCGAACCTTCTTCCGCCGCTGCGCGCGTAACTTGCGTCGGAGTAGGTGACCAACAAAGGCTGTGACTCGTCACACTCGAACCAAAGTCCGTGGTCTGCCGTGCGAACGAGAACTGCAAAATCTTCTTTCCTATCTGGATGGCCTTCTGAGGTCTCTTTGAAGCTCTTGCCGCCATGCAGGCCACCGAATGTGCCCGCTCCGGTCTCGAGCGAGTCGAAAACCAAGTAACCAGAGAGCCTCCCCCGTCATTTTCTGGGCCGTCTTGACCATGTGCTCTTCGAGCTTCTCTCCCTCGTCCTCCGAATCATCCTGCAGCCATTCGCGAGTGCAACGTACCGTCACGGGCCCTTCCACTTCCTCCACACCGTCGCGAACACAGCCAGACAGAGATAGGTGCATGCCCTTCTCAAAGCCCCGAAGCTCAACACCAAGGAACCTTATGTAGCCATCCGACCACCACGCCAGACTTGAGCACTTCCACTCAGACACTGACCACTTGTACATGGTATCCACAATGCCTCGAGACGACAATATCAGGATATCGTCGACGTAAACCAGCATTAAGCCACGTAGGCCTCTCAGGCGGCATGGGCATTGACAGGGTTGCGACTGTGCTACGAACGCCACAAACAAAGCTAACCCACAGACTCCAATATCCTTTAATTAAGGAATATACATTAAATTTTGGTAGGACCTCTCATATGATTTAAGGTATATTCCTGAATTAAGGGATATTGGAATCTCTGGGAATCTGGTGTTTCTCCAGCTTGAGCCTCCTAGGTCTTCTTGGCGTGGAGATGTTCATGCTAAGGGTCCCAAGGACCGAATAATTAGACATACTTAGGTACGTAGTTTTAAGGTAGTAGTTATGTAGGTCACTATTACGGTAGTAGTTATGTAGGTTAGTATTTGGGAGAGTATATGATAATTAGGCACTTAGACCCTTAGGGTCATCGATTGAACAGGCAGGAACGCAGGGGTCGCGTTGGAGCGCTTACTGCGGGGGCCTAAAAATTACCAACACTTTAATAATTAGAATAAGGTTCCTGTAAAGGGGTCTATAAGGGTAACTATAAGGGATACTATAAGGACTATACTATAGGGGCCGAAACAATGACCTTACTATTTTGGGGGTTCCTAATTTTAGTTATAGTATAAAGGGCCCCGAAGCCCTTTTCTAGTTATTAAGACCCCTCTATTACCCGAATTTCTTGGGAGGAGACAGATCTGCGACACGTTTTCGCCTTCTACGGCGAGATCGTTTCCGTAGAGCACATCGACGAGGCTTTCCCATCCCCCAGGGTTTTGCAGGGCTTCTGTAGGGTATCTAAGCCCTAAACCATAAATCCTAAAAATGCCGAACCCAAGCTTTAAAGCCTGAAGCCTAAGCACAGCAATCAAAAAGCCTGAAACCACAACCCTCAACGCTGAAACCTAAAACCTTAAAGCCTGAAGCTTAAACTGAAGTTGACATAGTTTTTGTGAGCCGAAAGCCAAGAGCCACTAAATACAGAACCCTTGCGGTTCAGGGTTTAGAGTTTAGGGGTTAGGATTCAGGAATTAGGGTTTAGGGTTTCTAATTATCAAGGCCTTATATCGAAATCCTTGCAAACCCCATGAAGACCATGTCCTGACTTCGGATAGGGCACCTGGCCAAAACGTGTAGCACTAACTCTCCTAGGAGTTTCAGGTATGCTTTGTTATTTGGGAGTTTCCGAAAATTATGGGGTGCCTCATTTGGGGGTCCTTATAATACGGATCCTACTATTTAGGGTGCAATATTATGTCCCTTGTTTTCGGAAGCTCCCATTTACGGCACTTGCACCTCCACTACTGATCCCTTGAGTACGCTCCCGAAGTATGGTTCTCTAGTTGGTGCAGTTGGGATGTAAGTGCAGTCTCCGAACTATGGTTCTCTCTAGTTGGTGCAGTTGGGATGTAAGTGCATTGTACAGATAGCCTTAAACCCTAAACCAAGCTCTAAACCCCAAACTACAACCTAAACCTTAAAACGTGTGTATCTCGAACCTCCATGGCTCTACCTTCCTACTCCCAAAATCCTGGACCATGAAAACTCGCAGCTCCAAGCTCCACACTATTGCACTAGCAGATAACCTCTGGTTGAACCCCATGGAAAGAGCCATCAAAACTATCACCAACAATTTCATACAAGGCCCGAAACTCTAAACCCTGAGCACGAGACCTTCTCGGCGGATCCACTAACATAGGGGCCGAAATAATTACCAATACTATTGTGGGGGCTCCTGAATTATAATTATGGTATTATGGACCCCAGACCCTATGCAACTATTAAGGCCCTATATTGTAGTACCTTTTATAGATCCCTTATAGTAGCCCTTGTAGACCCCGTTAAAAGGAATCCTATTCTAATTACTAAGGCCCCTGCATTAACGAGGGTTGTTTTGACTCGGTTTTGCCGTCATGTCTGGTTTTTGATCAGGGGTGACATCCTCATCCTCCGATGATTCGCCTTTGTAGGTTTCAGGAAACAACTAAACCCAAATACCTTAACCACAACATGGGAGTTTCAGAAAAAGTTGGGTATCTTATTTTGGGGTCCACATAATGAGGATCCTACTTACTTTTTAGGGTACTACATTAGCCCCTAAACCCTAAACCCCTAAACCCTAAACCCCCAAACCCCTAAACCCTTAAACCCCTAAAGCCTAAACCCCAAAACCCTAAACCCCTAAACCCTACACCCCTATTTTCAGAAACTCCCAAGTCCTTTGCCCGAAGCCCCGATGCTTTATAGGATCCTTAAGGGAGGGTGGTTCAAGGGGGGAGGGTATAAGGAATCCTTAATGGACTGTAAGGGAACTTTCGGGAGTACTAGGGAGAATTAGGCATCACTAGGCTATACAACCCCCCTTGGACCCCCCTCTCTCAAGGATACTACAAATGCTGTGAGGCGTCCGGTGGGTCGGCTTTGGTTACGTACACCACAGCAGAGGCGCCGGGCCGGCTCTTCGGTTACTCTTCAGGGTTTTTAGGATTTCGGGCTTTAGGGTTTAAGGTTGCAGGGTTTAGGGTTTGAGGGTTTTGGGGTCTAGGCTCTTCAAGCTCTAGTGGGTTTAGGGGTTTAGGGTTTCGGTTTTAGGATTTCGGGTTTCAGGGTTTTAGGCTTTAGGGTTGCGGGCTTTAGGGTTCAGAGTTTCGGGTTTAGGGTTAAGGCTTATTCAAGGTCTAGTGGGTTTAGGGTTTTAGGGTTTAGGGTTTCGGGCTTTAGGGTTTAGGTTTAGGGTTTCGGGCTTTAGGGTTCAAGGTTGTAGGGTGCAAGGTTTTAGGGTTTAGGCTCTTCAAGGTCTAGTGGGTTTAGGGGTTTGGGGTTTAGGTTTGAAGGGCTTAGGTGGAACCGGAAACGCGACCCGATATTACCCATTACAAACTACTATCCTATGGTTTTCATCTGGGGTTAAATGGGGGCTCATGCTGATTGAAACGAGTCTGCCTTCAATTTGCGGGGTGTCTGATGCTTATTCCAGAACCCGAAACACCCCTCTTGAGGAAAAAATCGGTTGCTGTGGGTTATGGGTACCTGTAAGCAGAGAGACCTACTTCGTAAAGAAGGAGTTGTAGTATCCTTAAGGGAGGGGGGTCCAAGGGGGGTATATAGCCTAGTGATCCCTAATCCTCCCTAGTACTCCCTAAGGTTCCCTTACAGTCCCCTAAGGATTCCTTATACCCTCCCCCCTTGAACCACCCTCCCTTTAAGGATCCTATAAAGGAGCCCTATGCGTGTAGGTTTGTTGGGTCATAGCTTAAACGGTTTAGGGTTTAGGGTTTAGGGTTTAAACCCTAAACCCCAAATCCAGGTATTTCTCACAGGGTGTAATTTGGCCACCATGGGGGGCGGTTCTTGGAAGATTCCGGGCGAGGGGTATAGGCTCTGCATTTTAGGGCTTCGGGTTGAGTTTCTGGTTTTTCGGTCATCTAGGAGCCATTTGAACGGATCCGATGAGAGCCTCCTTGGTGTTATTGAGGGGCTGGGGTTGGATCCCTCTCTCCTTCCCCGGCTCAAGGAGTATGAGCGTGACACATCGCTCATCGAACGGTCAGGGGCCTCTAGCTGGGCGGCCAGGATCGCCAAAGAATTTGGAGAAACTGCGTGATTCTCTGTGCAGGGCACGGACCACCAATGGTGCGCCTGTACCCCGTGTATCTCTGAATATGCGTCTGCGAAGTGGCGAGAGAGCTACGATCGCACGAGAGAAGTGGAAGAACCCGCTGATCAAGGAGCGGATGACCAGGTTGCAATGGTGCGGGCAGGCACCAGGCCTGGAGACAACCTCGCCGACATGCTGTTCAGCTTTCTGTTCTCTGAAGTTCTCGTCCGTGCTGCCCAATTTGAAGGCAGGAAAGACTGAAGACCTCATGACCCTGACGGGAAAGGGATCGAGGGCAGTCCGCACGGAGATCTTTGCTGGGAAGGACCCCACCATTCACCTTCAGTCTGACTTGTGGCCGACGGCTCGGCTCCGTTACGTGGCCTTTAAGTGAGCCCAATTCTAAGCATCCCAAACATGCAGGCCCCCCCCAGATTACGGAACCGTTATTGTAACCCTAAAGTACTTATAGACCCCTGTACTTAAAACGAAGTCTAAGAAGCCTTATTCCATGCATTCAGGCCCGCATATTCTAATCCTAAGCCTTGACAGCCTGAGCCCTGAACCCTAAACCCCATAGACTTTTGAAAAGGAGCCAAATGAGCCATATTCCTGAGCATGAAGGCCCCCATATGGGTAGTTCTCCAAACTAGTGCCCCATTTTAGGTCCCCAAATTAGTGCGGCATCCTTATTAAACAGAAACCCTAACTTAGAAAACTGCCCTTGTAGTACCCTTATAGACGCCTTCCAGAAGCCTTGCAGAAATCCTTATAGATCCCGTTGAAGGAACCCTGAAAGGAACCCTAATTCAGAAACCTCCCCTTATAGTACCCTTATAGAAACCTTACAGAAATCCTTATAGATCCCTTTGAAGGAACCCTGAAAGGAGACCCTAATTTAGAGAACTACCAAGGCGTTGCAGTTAGCGTTTTCATCAATCCCTAAACCCTAAACCCCCATTAGATCCTGTACTTAAACGAAGCCATCTTCCTAAGCATGCAGGCCAAACCCTAAACCCTAACCCCCAAACCCTTACCCTTAAACCCTAAACCCCTTAACCCCTTACCCCTAAACCCGAAAGCGTAACCCCTCCCAGAATTTTCGAATTCAAGCTTTCAAGACGAGGCCGCAGCCGAGGCTGCGCAAATCGTGCACCTGGCGCTCGTCCGAGGCAGCGCTTCGTGCTTTCTGGGCCTTGGTTAGGGACCCAAAAAGCACATAAGCATAAGCATTTTATAGGGATATCCCTACCTTATTGGGCTTCATTATAAGGGGATGTATATGGGATATCCCTATCCTTATTTTTGCTTTTGTGCTTTTTGGGGGCCTTATTCTGGGCTTTGGGCTTTAGGGGTTTGGGCGTTAGGGTGCAGGGGTTTTAGGTTTGGGGTTCAAGGCGTAGGGTTTAGGGTTTTAGGGTTTGGGGTTTTAGGGTTTAGGGCTTAAGGCTTAGGGTTCCAGGGTTTAGGGTTTAAGGTGGGTGCAGTCTTTCTGGACTCGCTTTTGCAAAGCCGCCGGTTTTGAGGTGGGCTTCGGGTTTAGGGCCTGATATTTTAGGCTTTTTAGCATCTGGGGCTTGACAGGGTTAAAGGGGGTTTAGGGGTTGAGGTCTTGTGATGGTTTCGGTTTTAGAGTTTCGCGTATTGGGCCTGTAGTCTCCGTTGTGGTTCGTTCTTTTTTGGGGTTTACAGATTTGTGTAAACAAGCTAGGAACTACAATGGAGACTACACGTCGGGTTTAGTAACTTCGTAGATTTGCGTGTTTTGCTTTTTGTTGGAGCGGGGGCAAGCTGAACCTCGGGTTCGATCAGGCTTGCATCAGGGGTCCACGGGTTCGTACAGTAGTTTTTGTAGGGGGCCTGGGGTCGAAGGAGTTTCTGGGTTTTTGGGTCACTTTTTGTGGTGGAGCTGGTGGTGGGGGGCTTTAGGCACTTTGGGCTTCTTTCCTGGGGTTTGGGGTTTTTGTGGGATTGGGGTTGAGAGTTGGCTCGGTTTCGTAGGGCAGGGAGATGTTACTGCTTCGGAGTGGTACAGTCCCTGGGCTTAGTTCAGGGCTGTGGTGGCTGTGCCATAAACCCCAAACCCTAAACTGAACTGGTTTAAATTTTCAGGGCTTTACCTGCTTTGACACTTTCGGATGCTCAAGCGGTTGGGACTCCTACGCTCTTGGAGCTTTTACTGCTGCTTTCTACTATGTGGTCCGTCTAGTGTAGAACTTGTCGGCATTAGGGCTTTAGTAGAGCTTCAGGTCGGAATAACTAGCGACTGTCTCCACTTATCGTCCGTGTATGATTGTGCAATATGTAGATATAGGTACGTAAAAGAACGTTGGATGCGTATATCATCCCTCGAAGCACTCCCTGCTCTAATTATAAGGCTCCTACATTACCCTTTGACCCTAGGCTTTTCTTCTTAACGGACTGTTCTTCGTCGCTAACTTCTCGAAAGGGACAGGAGTCTCGCTGACTCTGCGGTTGAAACTTGAACTGGGGTGTAGGGTTTGAACGTTCAAGTGTTCAGGGTGTAAAGTAAAAGCCAGAAAGTTGGAATACGATTACCCTAAACCCTTTACGGTAAATTGCATGGTTTCCTACCCTGAAACCATATTCCAACTTTCTGGAGTTCCCTGTAGGGTCGAGTGTTCAGGGCAGGGTTTTGTTGTTCAGCCTTTTGGGGCTTCGGGGTTTTGGGGCTGAGACTTTTGGGAGTTTTAGGGTTCAGGGGGCTACAGTTTGGCTACAGTTTAGGGTTTAGGGTTTAGGGTTTAGGGGGCTACAGTTTAGGATGGTAGGATTGAGGCTTTACAGCTTAGGGTTTGGGATTTTGTGTCTAGGGTTGAGGGCAGTGCCAACGACTCACCGCGCGTTCGCAGCCTTTGCTTCCAAGGCTACAACTGCAATCCCACCCAAAGCCCTCAGCTTTAAATCCAACATCCTATGTCCTAAACCCTCAAAGACAAAACTAAGCCCACTAAAGAAGCCTCTATGAAAGGCCTTAAAGGAAACCCCAGGTTCCAGAGGTCAGCACTCGACATGCCCACCCCCCCGAGCTCTTGAATCCCGAATTCTCATGCCAAGGCCCAAACACAAAGGCCACTATGGTTGATGATACAAACCCTGCATGACCCATAATAAGGAATGTACCATAATTCCCATAGTTTAGGGTCCTTAAAAGTAATGCAGGCTGTATATCATCAACCGTGTGAAGAGAAGCTGGCACCCTCCAGTCGCCCCGAAAGCCCTTATGACCGGACCCCAAACCCTGAACCCAAAACCTCGCTAAACAGGACCCAAGCTGGCTTCCCTTAAGTCTCAGACCACTTTCAAGTAGTGCGCGGCTTCTGCCAAGAGATCGTCCAGCCATGACCTCAACAACTCCTGGCATTGCTCGGATCGGGGGCTTTCGAAAGAGTTTCAGGGTTAAAGGTTTAGGGGTCTAACTGGGGTTTTGGTTTTGGGGTCGGGCACCAGAGGTTTTTTTGGTTTCTGGGTTAAGGTTTGAAGTTGGAGATTCTCAAATTTCGGGCTCAGGTTGTAGCAGACGCTCAGTAAATGGTTGTATGAAACTACCTTTTCGTAAGCGGCTTCGGGAGGCTACAGCAATTCCTTATCACGATGTAGATATGAGTGTCCAAGTTTCAGCTTACGTTGAGAATCCAGTGTGCAGAGTTCAACATGTGTCTTCAGGAGATTTTGGCCCCTGAGTAGTACCCTTCTGCACTAATTAAAACCGAATAGTAGGAAAGGTGCCCTTGTTATAAACTAGGACCCGGAGTAAGCCATTATTGCATTTTTTGGGGTTCAGGTTCCCTTATAACACCCTTTATATCAAAAAGGGCACCTTTTTATTCCCAGGTTACTCTTAGGTCTAGTATATGGGCTACACAGGAGCCTAGTATTTTGGGTGAGCCAAAACAGGAAATCGTGGTGGCGAGGCTGGCAAAGGGGCAACTTCAGAGCATTATGGCGAAGTGGCGCGTTCCTCAAATCAAGCCCGAAGCCCAAAACCCTAAACCCCAATCTCTGAACTCTAAAATAGGGGCCGAAATAATTACCAATACTAGTTTGGGTGCTGCTTATTCTGATTATAGTATAATGGGCCCAAAACCTGATTCTACTTTTTCAGGCCCCTAAGCTAAATCCTTAACTAAACCCTAAGCCCTGGAGGTATGTTCCTTAACCAACGGGTACATCTGAGGGTGAGTGGGACAGCACCGGCAAAGTTGGAAGCGCATGATCAGGAAGATATGAGGGTGTTGTAAGGATGGCTATACAGGTTACTACAAGGGTACTATAGCAGCCCAAGCGCCATACAGCACAAACAGTCACTGATCCGATTTCCAAAAGGATGTTCGAGGGTTTTAGGGCTGAGGGCTTGAATGCCAAATCGCAGCTCCACAGACAGCCAAAAGCCCTCGCTGCGCGATTGATTAGGTACATCAGCTAGGCCATCTTAACTTCTTGCAAGTCGCCCCTAAACCCTAAACCCTAAACCTTAAGCCCTAATTAAATCCTAAGCCCTAAACTCTAATCCCTAAACCCTGCCTATCTGCCGAGCCCCCCACGACAACCTCTGCAGATCAGAGGCTATGGGCTCTCTGTACTTCTTCCTATGCCAGCATGCTCTTCTCGCGACAGAAATGTTGGTCGCTCCAGGTGTGATGTTTGTACTCTTTTGTGGCCTTCGTACACCTCACTCCTAAGCTCCTGGGTTTAGGAATTAGGTTTGAGGGCTTAGAGCTCATTAGACTCCTAAACCATAACACCATTTCCCAAAATAATTTTCTGAGGCATGACGGAGTTCTGGGTTTCGCAAAAGAAGCACTTTTGCGAGTACTGCAAGGCGCCTGCAGTGGGTTTGGCTTTGAGGTTTACGGAGGAGGTTGCGTTGCTTCTGTTGAATTGAGGAATCTTTTCCAATCAAAAGTCCGTCGCAACTCTCACAGCGGTTCTAAGTTATGGTTCTTCCCAAACTTGGAGGTTCAGGGGTAGTTATAAGTAGGGTTATAAGTCCCCTACTATGGGTTAGAAGTACAGTTACCCGACTTGTAACCCTACTTATAACTGACCTAAACCCTAAAATCCTATACCCCAAACCCTATAACCCTATGGATCCCTTCAAAGGGGCACTACTTATAACTACCCGTGAACCTCCAAGAAAGTATTATCAAGGAAAGCTCCCATTTCAAGCGGCGCCTTTGGGCCCGCACTAGCTTAGAGCGAAGCCCACGAAGGAATTTCTCATCATGGTGCACCCTGGCACCTGAACCCGAATCCAACCTAAACTCGACGCCCTAATATAGGGGCCTAAATCATTACGAAGGATTTTTCAGTTGTAGTATAATATACACCAAAACCCTATTCTAAATAGAACCCCTGTATTGCACCCGGAAAGCCCGGCCGGCCACGCTCAAGTCCACACGCTAAGCCATGGATCATTCCCCAGCACTGAAGCACTCATAGGGATCCTTAGGGGTGTAGGGGGAGGGGGGGTAGGGGGCCTTAAGGCCCATAATAAGGACTAATAAGGCCTATTTAAGGAAATAGAGTCCCCTACACCCCTCCCCCCTACACCCCTAAGGATCCCTATGAAGCACAAGACCTCGAAGCCCTAAAGTCAGGAAGCCGTCGTCGTCGGCATGATGGTGATGATGATGACCTGATGGTGCTGCTGACGATGGTAATGGCGATAATGGCGGTGATGATGGAAACGGTGGTGATGATCATGATGATGATGATGATGTTGGTGATGGTGGTGATGACGATGATGGGAAAGCCGTACCCTTCTGACGCCATAACTTTGCAGCTGCTAGGCCCTACGGCACTGGACTTTTGCACCTTCACCTGGACTCTCAAACCGGTTTTGCCTGTTCAGTATCGGATCCCAGCCAGAAAGCGGATTCCCCAAAGCAGAGGCATCTTGAATTCTCGCGTCGATGCCACTGCTCGCCCCTTGCTCCTTGAAGTCTTGGAAGCAATCCTCCAGGAAGTATTGACGGTAGAGGGTGTAGGGTTTAGGAAGTAATATAGAGGCCTAAATAATTACCAATACTATTTTGGACAATGGTTCTTAGAACTAGACTTCAGTGAGGCGGAGGCCCTTCACAGGTTTCATGTTTTCGGCGCACATCTGCGCAAGCAGATTGCCCTGGACCGCCGAGCATACTTGCAAGGCCTTGCAGATAATGTCAAATTCCAAGATGTCCGGAATCCTAAAGCCCTCTATGCCTCAGTCAGAAAGGCGTTCCCATCAGCACAGGCCACCCGCAGAAAGCGTTTCCGCTGTCTGCCCGCAGTGCTGGACGACAACGGCCAAATGGTCGTCACCGCTGCAGATCGCATAGAAAGGTGGAGAGATCACTTCGGACAGCAGGAGGCAGGAGAGTTAGTCACAGAGGAACAGTACCTACACCACCTTCAAACCCTGCCCAAGCCAAGAACAAACCCAGTCTTTGACATGCGATATGTCCCGACCCTTCAAGAGGTCGAAGCCATCACGCTCTCTCTCCAGAGAGGCAAGGCTGCAGGTAGCGATGCCATTGCCGCAGAAATGCTCCAGGTACACACACCCAGCACAGCTAGACAAATCATGGGGGTATTTCTCAAAACGGCAGCCAGCTTGCGAGAACCCATACAGTTCAAAGGAGGGGAACTGGTATGCCTTGCCAAGAAAGCGGGCGCAGCCCTGCAATGCCAAGGATACAGAAGTATCCTCATCAGCAGCATACCAGGAAAGATCGCCCACCGGTACCTGCGAGGTCACCTGATTACCCTCTTACAGGCCAACCGCCCGGCCCTCCAAGCCGGGGCCATCCCAGGCGAGGGCATCGAGCACATATCCCTTGCAGCACAGTGCTTCCAGCAATACGCTGAGGCCACCCGCAGACCATGGTCTCTGGTGTTTTATGACATTCAGGCAGCCTTCTACACAGTCGTTCGGGAGCTGATTACGCCCCACACTCACACTGATCGTGAGCTGCTTGCCCTGTTTCACAAGCTCAATCTCCCCCCACAGGCCATTCACGAGCTTCGAAGCAAGCTAGAGTCTCTAGCACTATTGCCACAGCTCCAGGCAGGGGAACACCTGACCAGCCAGGTGCAAGAGCTCTACAGGGGAACCTGGTTCAGAATCACCGACGGGGCCCTGATTACCCTTACCCATCGCGGCACAAGGCCAGGCGATCCAGCAGCCGACGCGGTCTTCGGCCTTACAATGGCCGCCCTGTTGCACAAGATTCAAACTGAGTTGCAGCAGCAGGAGCTCCTGCCGCAAGTTCCCACTGCTGACAGACCACCCTCATGGGCAGCAACCACGGAGGACCCGCAATGGGGATGTCCGGCTTGGGCTGACGACTTCGTTCAACCAGTGGACGGAGATCAGCCCCAGCACCTACTCGATCGCATCTGCCAGTCGGTCAGCATTGTGGCGGCACAAGTTTCTGCATTCGGGATGCGACTGACCTACGATCGGGAGAAGACCGCAGCCATTCTCCCGACTTGGATCCCGGTCCACCTGCCGCCTCAACGTGTAGACCAAGGCGGAGGGCGGTATCTCCCAATCGTCGACCAGCTGACGCAAGAACACCACGAGCTCCCTATCGTCGACACCTACAAGCACCTAGGGGGGATCCTCACAGCAGACACCTCGCCCATGCCCGATTTACACCACCGACACGCAAAAGCACAGGCAGTAGTGCGCCCTTTGAGACGTAAACTCTTTGCCGCGAGAGACATACCTCTCCGAACCAGGCGTACGCTCTTGAGAACGCTCGCGATCTCAAAGTTCGCCCACACTGGAGCTGCGCTACTACTGAAAGCAGCATTCCATCGGAGAGTTTGGGCGCAGCAATACGTCGGACTTTGGCGTGCACTCTTTGTGCGACAGAATACACACCAAAGTGTCCATGCCTATCAAGTGCTCCTCACCGCGCAGGCAGCAGCACCGCCACTCGCGCTGGCACGGGCGCGAGCCGGTTTCTTGGCAAAGCTCGCCCGTACCGGACCCTCGACACTTGCACACCTTCTCATCGCTCATTGGCAACAAGCCCCACGCACAGCTTGGCTGACACAGTTGGAAGAAGACTACCATGCGGTAGTTCTCTACCTGCCTGAAGTAAAAGATCTCCTTCAGAGCGAGCCAGTTGCGGCTATCATTGCCTCTTTGAGCGAAGACCCCAAATGGTGGTTCAAGCAGACCATCCGGGCCGCCAAGGTCTTTCACGAAGACCTTGTGCTCTGGAGCCAGGGGTCACGAGGCGGGCCAGAGGAACTTCCTGTGGCAGTCGAAAGACCGTACGCCTGCCCGTGCTGCCCAGCGACTTTTGTGTTGCGTAAACACTTGGGAGTCCACATGGCAAGGTCGCATATGCTGGTCAGCCCAGCCCGACACTATGCTCCCACCACACACTGCCTTGCATGCCTTAGGCATTATGGTTCGGTAGGGCGTGTCCAGATGCACCTCAAAGGACACCCTCAATGCCTTCTTCGGTGTGCTTATCTCTTTCCACCCATGTCGCATGAAGACATTGCAAGAGCCGAGCACTCCGATGCCCAGGCAAGGAAGCGGGTCAAGAAAGGAGCCTGGCAGACCTACGAAGCCCCCAAGCTCTCCACACCAATAGCAGGACCCCCCTTGCCATCCGCCGACGAACGTCAACAACACGTTGACATTACGAGTGAGTCCACCCTCCTGGCCGACCTGGCACGCCACTACAGGCCTAAGGCCTCCACAGTGGCTTGGATCACTAAGTATCTTGCCGACGCCAGTCGAGAGGGACCACGAGTCACTTCCATCACCTTTTGGGGCTCCCGCCCCCGTTTCACCGCCCCTGCATGAGTTTTGGGACGCGCGGGCCCCTCGGGCACGCACTAAAGTCCGCAAGAAGAAGAAGAATACTATTTTGGAGGTTCCTTTTTTGGTTATAGCACAATGGGCCCTTTAAAACCTTGTTCTAATCATTGAGGCCCCTATATTATCGATCCCCACCCCATGCCATGCGAACACCTGAATCCTGGAGCTGTCCACCTGAAAACTGACAGTTTTTGCCTTTTAGGGTTTAGGGTTTAGGGTTTAGGGTTATTGAAGTACAGGTTTGAGCTTCAGGCGTAAGTCGGGCCCAGGATTCAGCGAGATTCTAGGATGCCCAGTCGTACCCTTATTCCCTTTTCGTAGTCCTAGGTTCCTCATAAAGTTACCCAGCACCGAAAGCGGGAGCCCTTGGTATTCCTAGGTTACTGGGCATCCTAGCAGTTTTTGGGGATTCGGGGCCCGGCATGAGCCACCACATATTTTTTGTAAGCCGCAAGCCTAAAAAAACACCTTCGGAAGGTGTGGACGGGCGGCCACCTTTGGCAAATCAGGCCCCCAAAAGGTTTCCGAGAGCAATTTCAAGGAACCGATTTTTTTCGGGGGTCAGCTTCGGGAGTGGAGGAGATTTTTGGGGTTACGGGGTTCAGGGTTTAGGGGTATATTGCGGGGAGCAGCTGAGGGGTTGAGTTTTGCTTTTGGCTGAACCCTAAACCCTAACCTTATGCCCCTGAGCCCTGAACCCCTACCTAAACCTACTTTTTTGTGGGCTCTTACTCTAAAACCCTAATATGGAATTTATAGGGACCCTACAAAAAAAGTAGGTTTTGGTAGGTTAAGGATAAACGGTAAACCCTAAACCCTAAACCCTAAACCCTAAACCCCTAAACCCCTAAACCCCTAAACCCTAAACCCCTAACCCCTAAACCCCTAAACCCCTAAACCCCTAAACCCCTAAACCCCTAAACCCCTAAACCCTAAACCCCTAACCCCTAAACCCCTAAACCCCTAAACCCCTAAACCCCTAAACCCCTAAACCCCTAAAAACCCCTAACCCCTAAACCCCTAAACCCCTAAACCCCTAAAACCCCTAACCCCTAAAAACCCCTAAACCCCTAACCCCTAACCCCTAACCCCTACCCCTAACCCCTAAACCCTAAACTAACCCTAAACCCCTAACCCCTAACCCTAAACCCCTAAACCCCTAAACCCCTAAACCCCTAAACCCCCTAAAACCCCTAACCCCTAACCCTAAAACCCCTAAACCCCTAAACCCTAAACCCTAAACCCTAACCCCCTAAAACCCTAACCCCTAGAACCCCTAAACCCCTAAACCCCTAAAACCCCTAACCCCAAAACCCCTAACCCTAACCCCTAAACCCCTAAACCCTAAACCCTAAAACCCCTAAACCCTAAACCCCTAACCCCTAAACCCTAAACCCCTAAACCCTAAACCCCTAACCCTAACCCCTAAACCCCTAAACCCCTAAACCCCTAACCCCTAACCCTAAACCCCTAACCCTAAACCCTAAACCCGAAACCCTAAACCCCTAAACCCCTAACCCCTAAACCCCTAAAAACCCCTAAACCCCTAAACCCCTAAACCCCTAAACACCCTAAACCCCTAAAACCCTAAACCCCTAAACCCCCTAAACCCTAAACCCCTAAAACCCCTACCCCCCTAAACCCCTAACCCCTAAACCCCTAAACCCCTAAACCCCTAAACCCCTAAACCCCTAAACCCTAAACCCCTAACCCCTAAACCCCTAAACCCCTAAACCCCTAAACCCCTAAACCCCTAACCCCTAACCCCAAAACCCCTAAACCCCTAAACCCCTAAACCCCTAAACCCCTAACCCCTAAACCCCTAAGCCCCTAACCCCTAAACCCCTAAACCCCTAAACCCCTAAACCCCGAGAGCTGAATCCCGTGGCCAAGAGTTGACGGAAGAGGAGCGAGGCTTTGGGGTCGAAGGAGTCGGCAGCCCGCCTCCAAAACCCAAAGGCCCCCAAAAAACCCCCATAAGGCGTCCTTTAAAGGGATCTATAGGGTTCCTTTAAAGGGATCTATAAGGCGTCCTTTAAAGGGATCTATAGAGATTAGGCATCTAAGGACTCATATAATTACGGCTTTCGGGCCCAAAGACCATATCATACAAGGCTTTTGGGCTATTTTGATGCCCAGGGAAAGCCTCAAGAAGCCCTGAGCCTTAAGCCCTAAGAAACCTAAAGTTCCTAAGCAGTATCAGTATAAGCACAAGAACCCCAAACCCTAACGCGTTAACTTCCAAAGCTCTAAATCCTCAAAGCTTTGAATCTTTCAATCCGAACAGGCCCTGAACAGTAAACTGTAAACCCTAACATCCCAAGACCTGAGACAGTGAAAGGCTACATCCCGGAGCTCTGATTAGATTCAGGCCCGCAGAGCTAAGCAACAGACATCCGAACCACTTCAGCTGAGGTTTGGTAAGGTTTGGGTGTTTTGGTTTACAGTAGAAGCCAGAAAGTTGGAATATCATTATCGTAACCCCTTTAAAGTAAATTATAGGGGATCCTACCATTAATCCATATTCCAACTTTCTGGAAGTCCCTTTAGGGTTTGTAGTTTAGGGTTTTGGGGTTTGGGGTTGACATTCTAGGGGTCAGGTCCCTGGGCTCAGGATTTACTATTTAGGGTTTAGGGTTTAGGGTTTAGGGTTTAGGGTCCGAAGCTCTCAAGCATTTCACCCTCTGAGCAGGAAGCATGAAGAGGGTCGCATGCACCAGGAGAAGAAAGAGGCCGCACATGTTTTGTTTTCATGCAATCTTATACTTAGTAGCTGAGTACGTAATTAAGCCCTAAACCCTAAACCCTAAACCCTAAACCCTAAACGGGTTCATGCCCTTAAGTATGAAGTTTCTCACATACGCCAAGCCGCGCATTGTCAACCCTAAGCCGTGCACCCTAAGCCCCAAAGCTTTGACCCTGTAGTTTTGCATCGCAGCTTGCGTAGGAGTTTGTATGGTCGTGTACAGTCATCATGTTGTGTACTATATACCGCTGACTATTGTGCCCAAGCCCTCTGAGTAAAAGGTTAGCGCGACCGCTCATGGCTTAACGGTTTTGGTGTATTCTATAGGTTATCAGCCGTATTCGCTGACTTTGTCTCCGTGGTATTCTTACACTGGTATTCACACTGGTACATGAGTACTTCGCCCTCTCTGCTCACTACTGAGAAGGGAGAAACAACTGAAGTATCATCGGACGAGATGGACGACGAAACAAGAGATCGACTGCTTGATGAACAACTCACAGCAGCTGGCGCGGGCCCTATGGCATCGAGCTCAGGATCCCAAGCACTTGATAGGATCTTCGGTCCAGTGGGTCCTACCCTATCTCCATTTGTATCAAATCCAACGGTCGATATCTCAAACGTGCAGTATACCTTGTACAATGTTGTGAACCAGGGTGAAACAGCCGAACAACAAAGAATGGCAATAGAGCGAACGGAGGCAGATGCTGAAAGAAGACACGCAAGCATTCTGAACCAACAATCGCATGATAATCTTGTGAGAATGGCTGGCATGGCTGAACAGGCCGAGCGCCTTCATGAGGTGAAGATGGCAGAATGCGAAGCACAGTTTGCGGAATTTGAGTTCAACGCATCCCAAAGGGAAAAGTTTTTGTTGAACGAAGTTGCAACATGCAGGAATGAAATGAACATTCTGGAATCAATTTTCCAACAACGACATCAGTCGGAAATCGCTAAGCTCAGAACCACTCTGATTGCTGAAAGCGAACGCAACAAAGCACAACACCTTGACTTTCTTGGAATCCGATTCAAACAAGTCCTTGAAGAAACCGAAGCGAGTATGGAACGGCGTTTCATTACTGAAATCGCCGAAATGAGTGCACAAAACGACAGACTGCAGGATGAACTGGCTGCCGCAGAACGAGCCTTAAGAATGGAAGCCAATGCGGACGAAGCGGGCAAACAACATGCCACGCCGAAGCCAGGACCTAATCCTACTATCCCGTTCTCCAATCCATTTGAGATTCCCGAGAACATGAAGGACATCTTCGGAAGAACGCCGCAAGCTCAGGAACCTCCGCAAGGAACTTCTGTACCACCTGGGTTTGAGAACAGAGAGCCACAAAAGGAAAAGTCTCCTAAAGCTGCCCAAACTGGTAAGCCGGCGACTGTTGATCCAGACGGGGTTCCACATGTTGATTTCGGAGCTGAGGCATTGATTAGGGCAGCACGCTTGCTTACCCCTAAGACCGAAGAGGAAGAGGGCAAACCAAAGGTGAAAGAAGCCGAAAGCATCAAGCTTCCCGATTACCCTAATCCAGAGACCTACCGATCGTGGCGGATCTCGGTCCGCGAGATTGTGCGGGCTGCGAGCGATCGCCCGGATGAGGCATTTCGCTGGGTGCAGGAAGTATATGATAAAGAGGCTACCCTCAAGTCCTTACATGACACTGGGAAATTCTTAACATTGGACACGAAGTTGTTGGCTGCACTTACCAGAGTCGCTAGAGGAGAGATTTCAAGGCAAGTCCTAAACTTCAAGGAAACAGAGGCCACAGGAGGACGTGCCGTCAGGGGAAGACAAGTATTGTGGATGTTTCACCAACACTTTAAGACTAATGAAGAAGTCGGAAGCCTCTATAGCGTAGAGGACCTTTTAAAAGTGAAGTTGGTTGGGGACGACTTGGCTACCTTCCTTTACAACTTCGAGTCGGTGATTGCTGGAATGAGTCATGTTCCGGATGAGGTTACTTTGAGGGACATTTTGCTGAGGGAAATTCGGAAATCCCACCACATCAAGTACGATCTTCAGCTGTACGACAGGGCAAAAGAAGGAAACCCTGTACACACGTATGAATTCCTCGTCAATGCCATTAGGGAGCATCTGACTAGAGAGCGTATGCGCAAGAATCGTGATCGCATCGCTAAGTCGCATGGCGATAGATACGGGGCTCCAGCGTACGGATCTGAACGTCGCCCCTCTTCGCGAGGAGGCCGTGGAAGAAGCATGTCCCGAAGT